GAAGATCGGGTGGGGCTGGTGGGGGTCTACTCGAAGGGTATGCGCTTTGAGACACGTTTTCACTTTTCCTCTTTTTCCGCCCTGTCCTAATTATTTCTATTTTGGGACACTGAGGCTCACCAAACATAGAGCCAGTGTTGATAGATCAGTCATGTATAAATAAGCCACGACAAGGCTGGCAGCATGTCAGCACGGGCAGAGGCCAGATAGGCTGCACTGATTACCCCCATTATCGGGGACAGGCCTCATTAGGAGCCTCGAGCTGGGTGTGCGACTGTACGTGTCCTTTTGTTACAACACAGGACCAAATGTCCTCCCGAAGATGTAAGCGTGAGGATCATCTTTCAGATGTTAGGACATTTTGTTGGCTTTCGTGTTTAAGAGGTTACAGGTTTCAGTAGAGAGGATTGGTTAGAGGCTAAAGGTTAGGATTAAGCCAAACAAATGCTCCTGCGTCTTCGGTTTTTAAAGATGTGCTACGATACGACTACTTGCACTTGATCTGAGCCTGTTTTTTCATTTTGAGACTGAGAGGAGTGTAGTGATGCCTAGGCAAATTTAATCATGTTTAATAGCTTAATGTTTATTGAGTGTTACTGATTTCCTATTCTCAAAAAATAAAAAAAATCAATCAATCAATAAAGCAAATAAACCAGATCACATAAACCACAATGCACACAGTAAAATTTGCACACACAAAATTGTCATTGTGTGTTTTTCTATCCAGTGCATTGGCAGTGTGTTTGGGATCATTATCATGCTGAATAATGAACTTGTCGCCAATCAAACTCCTTGGAAATGGTACTGCATGGTCAACCAAAATCTGATGGCACTCTTCTACCTCCATAATTCTATTAATTTATACAAGATCTCCAACACCACTGGCTGAAACGCAGCCCTCAAGCATGACAGGTACAAGAACTGGGTTGGAAATGAGTGAAAAAGCAACCAATGAGCAAAGAAAAATCTCCAGAAAGCCTGGAAACTATTGCTCATGACCACTTTTAAAAAGAAAAACTAGTGGTCTTCTATGTCTGGCTCATTGGTAGCAAAATACTAGAAATAAGTGGAGGCTTCACAATTTTGCACAGTACAGTGATTGGTAGTATGTGTCCTGTGTATGGCCCTCTCTCTCTCTAACTGTGTGTATGAGCTGACACACTCCGCCCCGTCTTTTTGCCCTATAAGTATCAGGCATTGCAGCAGGTCCCAAATATAAACTCGCAGAGACGATCCTCATTCACAAAAAATATTAAAAAAAAATATTAAAAAAAAATTTTTTTTTTTTTTTTTTTTTTTTTCTCCGATTGAATCTGCATTGAAATGCAATGTAAGTTCAGCTATTTGTGTTTGTGTTTTCACACAAAGAGAGATGAGCAGAAATATCAAAATGAGCAACGCACGTCAAAGACATTTGAGTTTACCGTGAGCTAGCACAAGGTGAGACAGCCAAAACAAACCACACTGAGCTGCTGATGGGAGCCATTTCTATTTCTACTTTTATACAAACTACTCATATGTTTATTTTTGGCCTGTTCATTTTTTTAGGACACTTTAGTTGCCCCATAAAGTCCAACGTTTTGCATCAGCTTATATATAGCAGCAGCAGTACAAGATCTTACCAATGTAAAATTGGTGTTTACCGATTACTGAATCTTAGAATTAATCTTAATTTAATAATTTAACTGAAAGTTTCCATTCTGCTTATATAAGTATGACTATTTTGATTTTTGGTTCAAGTAGCCTACATTTTACTGCTAATCCTTCCTTGCTTCTATGAATACTCGAATTTCCCCTTATGTAATGTTTTAAATTAAGTTATTGCTATTTTTTAACTTCTTGCTATGTTTGAAAAGCAAAAATATAGCATTGGAAAATGCTCAATAAGAAGAACAAGTTAGTTTTAAACATTATATTTTGAGTTTAAGTTTATTTTTACATTGTTCTTAAAGCTGGATTAATTGTACAGGGTGGGCCATTTATATGGATACACCGTAATAAAATGGGAATGGTTGGTGATATTAAAAACCTGTTTGTGGCACATTAGTATACGTGAGGAGGTAAACTCTTGAAGATGGGTGGTGACCATGGTGGCCATTTAGAAGTCGGCCATCTTGGATACAACTTTTGTTTTTTCAATAGGAAGAGGGCCACGTGACACATCAAACTTATTGGTAATGTCACAGCATGGGAGATGGGTGGTCTCGTAGGGTGTCTTGCATTGAAATCTGCTGCAATGACCTGGTTATCTGCAAT